TAAAATTTAAAAATTGTTTAATATAAAAATGGTTATCATATGATCATATCAATCTTTTTGTAAATAGAATCTATGAAATAGATGGATATATGAAAATCATTTCTTTGTTTTTTTTTTTATGGATAATATATAATATTTTATTTTACTTGATATATATGATATTTGATTTTATGATAATATGTGATATTATGTTTTTTAATAAATAATAATTTATAATAAGACGAATACTAACATTTATAATATAAAAAAAATATTACAAATAAAATTAGTTAAAATAATAAATGATTGCTTCATTAAATATTTATATAGGATATATAAAGAAATAATATATAAAGAAATATCATGACTATAATGTGATTCTATGATTATGATCTATAATTTATAATCTCTCCATCAATGAAGATTTATAAAAAATTGTTATCACAAAAATGATTTTTGATATAGATTTTCAAGATCAAAATTTTTATATTGCATTATATAGTACTCGTTACAAGAAATAAAAATCGCAATAAATCATTCTTTTGGAAAATGAATTTAAAGTTTCATAATTACTTTATTCAATAATTTTATTGAGATATTGCAATGTACATATGCAATTAAATACATTACACATTAGTTCATTAATTTATGAAATATTTGAAAATTTTATGAAGAAAACAATTACGTCTAAACGAAATTTAAACAAAATATCAATTCAATTTGACTTTTCATTAATTTCATAAATTAACAATTTATTGATTAGAAATTAATATTATATATTTTTTATCATCACATTATATCATTCTAATACACATCAGAAAAGAAAAGATCATTGCTCTCATCGATAACAACTCGATAAATAGAAAAAAATTATATGCATAATGTTCAGTTAAATAATCATAACTTAACAAGATTTTACTGATGAATTATACAAGTCGAATTATATTATATATTATATAACCACGCTTTTTTTATTATTGCTAGAATTAAAGGAATGACAGTATTTGAGTTAAAGAGTATTTTGCAAGGATATTTTAATGTTTGAGCAGGAATCATTGAGATTTATAATATTGAATTGACTTAAATCTAATATAAGTTTAACTATAAAATTTCTGAGGAAAAAGATCACATATTTGGGATAGATTTGTTTCTGATAATCTAAAATATTTTTTGAAGACTGATAAATTAGAAACATAATATTATCTATATCATCGTATATAGTTATATAAAATCGTTCATATCATCAAATATAGTTATATACAATATCGCAATTCATTTAAATTTTAAAAAGTTAGTTCAAATATTATAAATCTCAATGATTTTTCCTTAAATAAATTAAATTAAAGTAAATAATAAATTGAAAGCAAAACGTCCCAATTTTATCATTCTGTTGATTTTGAAAATAATACATATTTTAAAAAGCGTAGTTTAAAATATGTTTCAACTGTTTCAACTTGTGTAATTCACCAACAAAAATTATTGTTATATGCGATTAACTGAATATAACACATATACGATTTTTTTCTATTCACTGAGCTGTCATCGAGCAATAATGATTTTTTTTTTAGTATTGTTTCTTTTTCATTGTGATTTCTGATGTGCATTAGGATGATATAATATTAATTTCTAATCAAAATTGATCTGAAATTATTAATTTAATTATTGATTTAATTAATGAATTGTAATGAATTGATATTTCTTCATATTATCATTATATAAGTTTTCACATATTTTAATTGCATATTATTTAGATTGTAATAATTCAATAAAAATATAAAAATATTTAATAAAATAGTTTACAAAACTTCAGATTTGTTTTTTAAAAGAATGATTCGTTTGTGTTTTTTTTCTTACAATAAATATTGATACAATAAAAAAAATTTTGACCTTAAAAATCTGTCAAAGTCATTTTTACGATAAAAATTTTTTTTAAATCTTAACTTATCATTTTTATAAATTTTCAATAGTCGAGAGATATAGAATTACAGTATGATGGCCATGATATTTATTTTTTATATATTTTATATATTGTATATTTTATGTATTGTATATTTAAATTATGCTTATTTTAATATTTTTTGTTATTATAATTCTTATTGTAATAATTGTAATAATTGCTTTATATAATGATTACTTGATACTAATATTATTATTATATTTGTCTTAATATGATGTTTGTTATTAACATTGTTATTGTTATAGAAACCGTTCAAGAATGATTCTATTGATGCTGGTATTCAATATTTCGATATAAAATATGGCCATAAGAAAACAGAAATAACATTTCTTAAGCAATTTTATCTAAGAATCTAAGAAATTCGATATGATTATATGATGATTATTTTTATATTAAATAATTTTTATTCTGGCTATTATAATTTCAAATTATTTAAAACAGTAATTCTAAATTATCTTATATAATTTAATTATTTATATGAAAAAATCTATTGCTATTAAATTTTTTGTTATATTTGATAAATACTATAAATTCTATAAATTTATAAATTATATAAACATATAATTTTATAAATATGAATCATTTCTAGTAAATGATGAAACTTTTAGAACATCACTATAATAATAATGATTTTTTACATTTATGTATATATATATATATATATTAATATATATTATAGTAATGAATTTATGATTGTAAGCAATATATGTATAAAAATTAAATAAAATCTAGAATATTATAATAAAAAAATTATTTTTTATAATTATTATATAACATTTACTTAATTTAATATTAAAAATGAAGCATACAATTTGCTTATTTGATATTACTGTTATTTTGTTTTCACATCATTTTAATACAAATGCGATTATATTACAATTTAAAATTACAAGCTAATTACATTAATATGTATAATTCTGTGCAATAATTTTTAATTATTATACAGATAAATTTTTAAATATACAGAATATATTTAATTATAATGATGCAATTTAGATTTTTTATCAATTTTATTCCACTGTGCGTATGTCATATTTTTATTATTTTAATTTAAATCTTTATTTTATTTGAATTCTACTTATTTATTATAAAAAATATTAACAATTTAAAATGATAAATAATAATAAATTATATTTGTTATAAAAATTATTTTAAATAATTTGAATTTTATAATATATTATTTGAATAAATCAATTGAACAATTATTGTATTACTTTGAATAATTTTCTTTTCTTTTAATTAATATTTCGAATTAACATTAAGCAAAAAATTTTAAATTGTAGTACTAAAATATAATAATTTTAATTTAAATATCACTATATATTCATGAAAAAATATTGAGAAACACAATATACTTATGGTATATAAAAATATTACGCACATATTTTTTTTGTATATATTTTTGATTTATGTTAAATCTACTAATTTTGTTAATTTTATTTTGCACATTTCTAAATTTGAAAGGTACAAATAAAATAACGAAATAATCAAAGTTAATCAATAAAATAATTAACTTGATGTTATTATTAGTGAATATTTTCACCATAAAGTTATTATTATATATTTCTTAATATCCTGTATGTTTTTTCAAAATAACATATAATAAATTTTCCTTTAAAAAAAATGTTTGAACAAAAAAACAAAATTACATTATCACATAAATTTGATATAAACTTCTACTTCTTAATTATCATCTTTGTTCATTCTTCATGTAACTAAATATAATTACATATAATTTTTTCTTGTTTATAATATGTACAATCACAAAAGATATAATTATTTTTATGTGCTTTCAGTACTTGGCAGTATTTAGGCACCTTAATTCCATCAAGGAAAGATAATGAGAGAGAGGATAATTTATATTCATGTTCTCTCTATAACTTCAAATTTACATTTAACAATTCATTATGATTTTATCTTTGTATAAATTGCGCAGACGATATTTAAAAAAACATCAATATTATTGATTTTCGCTTATTTAAAAAAAATATTTTTTATTAATGTGACAAAATTTTTGTTAATATATCTTTTACGAAATAAATTATTCTTTTGTGGAAGCATATCAGATATATAATAGATACATATGTCTTGAATTGGTTATATCTTTTAATTGGTAGATTTACAATTTATACTTGAAATATGTATGTGTATAATGTGCTCCTGTATAAAGATTTATTACATGCTAAATTTATCACACCCAATTTTGACAATATTTGGTGTAATATTAAAGCATGAATACAAAACATTTAATATGAAATTTAAAAGTAAACATACAGATCAACAATACATTGTATTTATCCTTAATGATATTCAAGTACGCTTTGATAATATCTATTATAAGTATTTATATGTGAAACAATTCTTAAATTCTTGTATATAGAAGAATCGATGTTTGTTTTATATTAAGTCATGTTACAAGAATTGCATTAAGTGTTTACAAGTCATCTTACGATGATAATACTATCATATATATGCAGTCTACAAACACAGATATTTTCTAAAATAACAATTATATATAAAATATTTTTAACATGTACATATATTGGAGGAAAGTTTTTTGTCAATCTAAAATAATATTTGTGACATATTTAATATGTTTCTGTTTATATATATTTGTATGTTTGAATTATTTTATCCTCCATCATAACATCAACCATAAAGTTTTTATATTAGAAATAGTTTGTTAATGTATTATATAAATAAATCTATTTAATAAACAAAAATTTATGCTTTACTAAAAGAATAAAAAATATAAATTTTAATAGCGTCAAAGTTAGTAAAATAGCTCACACAAATTTTGTTCAAAGTAACATGTTTTTTTTTAATTCATAAAACAAGAGTAATAGAGCAAAGCATGATGATTAAAAAATAGAATTCAAAATAATTTGATGATTTTTTTGTATTACTTTTTCAATCTTTTTATCATTTAAGTTGATAAAAAAGAGAGAAAAGAAAAAAGAACACTTAATAACATATACTTTAATAATTGTAACTTCATTATGGCACGTGAAAGAAAATCACTTTATTTGGATGTCAAGTTATTAACCTCATAATTAATAAATCATAATGAATTATCTACTACGACTATTTAATATTAATATCACAAATGTTTACATTTAATGTTTTTGAATTAGTTTAAATTTATACTCAATTCGAGCTGTAGCTAGATAGTTATTCTAGCATATTTTAATATTTATTAAATTTTCAGTCATCTCCGTTGCAGAGAAACTTTATACCTGACATAGTCAGTAAAATGTATGATAAAAAATAAGTATGATGAGTTAAATCACGATGGCTTACAAGATGGAAATTTCTTAACATTAATACATGAAATTGGTTTGCGCCATCTCCGTTTACTCTGATGTGAATTTTGTTTGTTGTTGTGACTATTCCAAGTACTTTTTTGGTCTTCACTAATTTTATCCATTTCTTGAAGCCGTTTTTCTTCTGAACAAAAAAATGAATTTATTTAAAATTTGTTTATAAATTTATATTATAAGGGTTAATTCTATTTTATGTATAAATAATATAATAATTTTATAATCTATTGTGCAATATAAAAAACAAGACTGTTTTTGCAATAATATTACTACACATAATTTAAAATATGCATGACACATTGCAGAAGCTAATAACAGAGGGCTATTCTAAATATTAATGAGTTAAAAATTTCAATACCATAATTAATATAAATTTAGATGTGTGTTATAAAATGTAGAAAGGAAGAAAGGAGAAAGGTAAAACTGGGTATACACTATATAGAGAGTACCCGTTTTTGTCAGCTCGCAACATCATAGGTAGATATAAACGTGTCATTGTTACAGAATGGTGCATGTCTTTGATAAGAATACTAGTAGTCGATTTGAAAAAGATTGTTCACTATTCCGTTTAGAATCTGAAAAGCAAAAGCTGTATTTTATTCAAGTGTTTATTTACTTTAATTATAATTAAATTTATACTGTAATATAAATAATATAATATATTTTTTCTTCAATGATATCTTTTTTCTAATAATATATTAAAAAAGAAGGTTTTTTAACATATTTAACAAATTTTTAATAATAATTTTTATTATCTTTACTTAAAATAATTTATACAAATTATATAATTTAATTTTTATAAATAAATAAAATACAAATATCAATGATAATTTTATTAAAATACAATTATAAAATGACTTTAATAGATAAGATTATTAATTTAATTGCAAAATAATTTAATTATCAAACCACTTTAAAAATACTGCTTCTGAGCTATAATATAGAATATTAATATATTGATGGAATATCTTTGAAGAGTTGATTTCAAAGGCAAAACAAACAAAACAAACAAATACAAAAAATGATATATAAAAATGTAGATTAAGATTTATTTATTAAGTTATAAGCAATTTAAATTTGCATTAATGAACGAAATAAAAATAGAATGAGATAACTTTATTTCTGTTACATCGCCATCTTATTCTGTCTGTCTTATTTTATCTAATGTAATTTATTTCCTTATAATTTAAAAAATAAATTTCAATATTTATTTATATCAACTTATGTACTTGCTTTAGCCTTTAGAATCAATTCTTCAAAAATATTTTGACAAATACATTAACATCCTCTATAACCCATCCTCTATAACATCTTCTCTAAGCCACAAATAATATATGATTTATTTATATTTTATAATATATATAATATTTATATATATATATTTTTTATATATATAATATTTTATATATTAATATATATTAATATATATATATATATTTTATAATATATATAATATTTTTTTAATTAGTGTTTTTGTGCATGCAAGTTTATCTTACCTTTCTGTTAGGTGTGAATATACAAATTGATATAAATATTATAGCAACAAAAATTTAAGCTTTAATACATAAATATAATAACACATAACATAATGCAGAGTAATATAAAACAAACATACCATTTAGTTGATGTTCAGTATAATACATAGGATTGTCGTCACTTCCGTAATGATACTCCATCAGGTACGGTAGTACGGTCATACTATGCCATTTATGCCCTTTAAGAGGAGGTATGGGTACTTCTTCTTGTGTTTTAGGATGCCTGCATATAGTCCATGGATGTTTTTTAACTTGTTGCAAAGTAAACCTTTTATCTGCATCTTTTTGTAACATTCCTTGTATAAGAGATTTTAAAGGTTCTTCAACTTCTTCAGGTATAGAATATTCACCTTTTCCAATATTTTCATATAATTTATAAATATTATCGCCTTGAAAAGGATATTGACCTGTAGTTATATTGTATCTGTGAAATATTTATAATTTTATTAAAAATGCATAACAAAATTTTTATTTTATAATATTTATTTTATAATAATTAAAATTCAATTTGTAAAATAAATTTTTTATAATAATTCTTTAAATTACAAAAATAAAATTAATTTATAAAAAAAAGATATACTTACAATGTAACTCCACTGCTCCATATGTCTACTTTAAAACCAGAAAATGTTTCACAGCCATTTGCAATTTCAGGAGGCTGAAATGCTGGTGAACCTTGTCCCATTTTACATGTATCATCTTCAGAAAACATGTCTAATGCCTAATAAGTATATCAAAAATTACAGAATATTTTATAATTTCTTTTATTAATATAAACTTTAATAGTTTGTATTAATAGTTTAAATATTTAACTTAAAAAATTATATTATAATTAAATAAAATAAAAGAAATTCATTAATTATCATATATTATCATATATACCTCTGCAACTCCAAAATCGCTAATCTTCAAGGTACCATCTAAAGCTAATAATAAATTCCCTGGTTTTATATCTTTATGTACTATCCCTTTACTGTAGAGGTATTCCAAACCATCCAATAACTGACAGAAATAGTCATGTGCTTGCCAAATTGGAAGCTTCTTGAGAGGTGTACTTCCCAACATATCCTGCAAAAAATCTAATAAATAGAAATCTAATTGTTGTTAATTTCATGCAGGTTTTCATTATTTGTAAAATTTGTATAAAAATAGATTCTTGTAAAGTATATGAAATTGTTATATTAAATTATAAAAAGCATATTATATGAAAATAATTAAATTAAAATATTAATATTTTTTGTGTTTTTTTTTATATTGTCTAGTTTTAAAACTATCTTTTTTACTCTTATATTAAATATGTAAGGTAAATCACTTTTAAATATTGTTACGACAAAAGATGAGGAGTTTATAAATTTTTATTAAAATATAAATATTCAGAAATGTTGAATTAATTATTACACAAATTGCATCTGAAACTTTAAACATGATCAAATATCAATTTATTTAAAGATATATGTGCATAACACATTCTAAAATAAACCATGTAAGGTTTTTAAACTTTACCTGTAATCCACATACACAAAATTCCATAACTAGGTACATCTTCTCCTTTTCATCATTATATAAAACATCTACAAGGTTAATTACATTCTTATGTTTTAATATCCTTAATAGTCTTATCTCCCTGTTAATGAATGTGAATAAATAGCATTTAGAATTCTAGAAAGTAATTAAATATATGACATAAAAAAAATTTTTACTTTTATAAATCCATATAATTTATTTTTTCTTTTTTTTTAATATTATGTACATTATAAAGAGAAAAATCAAATTTTATATTTAAATAATTTTGATTTTTATTAAATAAATATTAAGAATAATAATAAAGCTTTATTATTAATTATAAATAATAAAATATTTTCAGATTCTAATTATGTAGATGTTTATTTATGTTGTATATATAAGATATTTCAAAATGAGTTATATAGATAAGTATAACATAAATCTATATGAAAAATGAGTTGAAAAAGACATTTTTTTATCTGAGATTTTATTTTTGAGAAAATCAAATTTGAAAATTTATTAAATATAGATGAATATGATTAATTTCTAATTAAATAGATAAGCTAAATTGACAAAAAGTTGTTCTACATAATAAAAAAATAAATTTTTAAAAAATGCAAAATAAAATTAATTCATTTAAAAACTAGATTTTGAAATAATTTAAATTGAAAATTCATCAAATATGTGAATATCTTATTACTTTTTCATAACTATATAAACTATATAATTATATAAATTTTAATTTTTTAAAAAATGAGAATTTAACTTTAAATAATGAAATCATATTTTATATTTTTTTATTTTCATGTATACATAGACAATAAGCTTTTATCAATAATTTGCATAATATTCAGTTAGAAATTAATTAAATTTACTTGTATTTAAAAATTGTTTAAATTTGATTTATTTGAAAATAAAGTTTTAAACGAAAAAAAATTTTTTTAACTCATTTTTATATATAGAATTATCTTTTGTCATCCTCTTATATTATCTGTCTTAAATAATACTATTATTATTTTAATTTTTATGGTCATTTTTATTGGATTAATATAAATACTATAAGAGTAATTTTTTTCTTTGTTTGGGTATAATAATATCAATATAACATAAATTATGTGAGTTACCATATCCATATAATTGAACAAAATAAGAATATGTAGAAAGATCTTGTCTACTTTATCTAATAATTATAAATTTTATATAAATATAAAAATATAAAAAAAATTTTAAAAATTTGTTTATCGTACCGTTGAACGTTAAGCTCTCCATTTGGGATTCTACGAAGTTTCTTCCTTTTTAAGATTTTCACGGCTCTTCGACAAAGTGTCTCTGAGTCCAGCACTTCTTTCACCTTTCCGTAACTACCTTCACCAAGAACATCACCCATAACATATTTACCGATAAATTTACATTTCTTCTTTTTTTCTTCATATATAATCTGATCTGAATCCACCCTATGGAAGAACATGTTGATCTCATCCAAATCATAAGTCGGATCATCGTTGATCCACGTGACTGGTTCGATATCCCGGAATATTTCATTATTAATTTCTTCTTCATCTGGGTCACATATTGTGATTCTATTGTCCATTTTTTATAATACTAATTGGACTAAAATTACTGAAAACCACACAACTTTAACCTAAAACACGACCGGCACCACCATTGTTGTGAATTACAGCTGTATATTCTACCATAGCTTGTGATAATAAAAGACACGATCATCATTTCAATTCCTGAATGTATACACACACATATCAACTATATTAGCGCTTAAATTCGAAAATATTTCGTTAGATTTATCTATCAAATTTTGCATTTCATGTATTTACGCAAATTTTTTTTACAACTATTTAAATATATTTTTCTTTCTTAGCTATTTAAGGAAAAAATTAAATATATTTTAGTAATATTAATCACATTAGTCAAAAGAAATTTCTCGTAAAAAAAATATATATCTACATATCATATTAATATTATATTTATTAAAAATTATATTTTTATAAATAATTTTATATATACAAATGTAAATGATAAATAAAATTTTATTCTTTAATTATTTAAATCTTTATTTATAAAATAAAATATAATTATATAAAA